CCCCTGCCATGGGCAGGGACACCTTCCACTGTCCCAAGGTGCTCCAGGTTCCATCCAGCCTGGCCTTGGACACTTCCAGGGATCCAGGGGCAGCCACAGCTTCTCTGGGCAACCTGTGCCAGGGCCTCCCCACCCTCCTTCCCAGTATCCCACCTAACCCTGCCCTCTTGGAATCTTTGAAGTCAGTACAATTTTGTGAGCTCATCAACACAGGAAGATGTCTGGACTATATTTCTCCCGGTCAAGTTGTGTAAAAATTATCCCATCCCAAGTTCTACCCCCTCCCTTCCCTGGGATAAATGTGGGGTTGGGCTCTCCTGGGAATGCCCCCTGAGCCACTGAAGTGTCACTCACAGTTTCTGCTCTGTTTGCACAGGAACACTTGCTGAAGGAAGGAATGGCCTGGCTGGATGAGCAGGCACCAGAAGAACCTCAGTACTGGCTCCCTGCTCTCTTTACAGAGCTGTACTCTCAGGAAATCACTCCAGAGGAAGCCAAGGAGGCAATTCCTTGACTGTTCCCTGTTCTGTGCCTGTCTAGAATCCTCGGGAGGTTCTTTGCATATCACCTGAAACACAGGGACAGTGGACTTGAAATAAAAGGGTTTTGTAAAAAGTGTCTACCTTGAAAATCTTCTAGGATTCACTCCTGCTGGCTTACCTCTGGATTTGCTCCCTGGCTGGGGGTGGAAATGCCACTTGCTACTGGAAACTAAATGTCACAGCAAGAGGAAAATTATCTGGAGTCTTAAAGGATGCAAATGGGATTCTGGCTAAAGAAGTGGGGAAGCTCTTGTGTAGCTCTGCTCTGGGAAGGAGTTGTTGGTTGGTTGGTTGTTGTTCCTCTAAGGAATCACCACAGGCTCCATTCTGCCAAAACAAACTTTATTGCACAAAAAAAAAAAAAAAAAAAAAAAAAAAAAAAAAAAAAAGAAAAGAATCTTATGTACAATAGTATATAAACAAGGTATCTTAGAGTGACTCTTGTGCATATATTTTCAACTCAGTTAGGTCTAAAAATCTGTTGCTAAAACATCTCTGCCTAGAGCAGTCATTGAGGATTGTCACTTGGAAATGGAGACATTCAGAAATGGCAGGACAGAACATCAGAGCTAGAAAACTAATACTTCTCTTACAGCCACATGCGAGGTGGGTGAGCAGTGTCC